TTCATGCAAAAGAAAACTTGGGCCATTTTGCCTATTACTGCTCAAGTGGGTTGGGCAATGGGCATCAACAATCAGTTTGGGTGGCTAACGGGCTACAGAAGAATGGTACTGAAGCAACACAATACCTTTTCACAGAAGATTCCTTGAATCGTGCAAGCATTTGAACCATTGTATCAGTGGTCAGCCCACCAGCAAACATTTGAGTGAAGTAAGGATTTGCTTCTGCTTCAATATCATCTACATATCCATCAGAGGTTGATGATTCAGTAGTTCCACCATTCTGCAGCGTTGGATTAGACTCCATTACTGGTGCCTGCAACTCCTCCATTTCTTCAAGAAGCAACTCCTCCATTTCTTCAAGAAGCTGGGTAGAGGAATCAACCCAGTTTGATCTTTAAGGACCTGCAAGGTAAACATGGAAAAAGTAAAGTATGAAAACATATTGCATTGAAATAGTAAGACCAACCAAATTCTAGGACCAGAACCTTGAAAAAAGCAGAACCTTGAACAAACCCAAACTTATCCTACTGCAACAAATTCCACTTTCAAATCACAAACCACAATACAAAATAAATTCAGATCCAATTCACCGCCAAAATACTGCTCTAATCATAGCTCAAAACAACCACAATCACACACCATTTAACACCTGAACCATAAAAAATTCAACAAAATCAATCACGAAACGAGGCAAAAAAACAATTAAAAACGAGCTTAAATCAACACAAACAAGATCTAGGGTTCAAAGATTCAATGAGAAAATTAAAAAAAAAAAAAAAAAGAAGAGAATTTTTCTTAATTGAATTTTGACTAAGATTAGAATGAATCGATGAGAAGTTAATTAAAAGTAATTGAAAATAGAGATGGTGAATTACCGGTGAAGATGGGGAATCGACGGAGAAAAGTAAACAGAGATTGAGACAAAATCCGGATTTGGATGGGAAGAAGTGGGGAGCGCGTTGGGGAAGACATATTATGGGTACGTTTGGTGCTGTTTAACAAGTGATTCAGCTTTTTATACTATTTATATTTTATAAATTTAAATTTTTTTCAAAAGATATTTTTTTTTTTAATTTTAAAAAAAATTATAAATAATAAAAAATCAAAAATTTTAAATTTAAACTTTTTATAAATATTTTTTTTATTTTTAAAAATAATTTTTAAATTTTTTCCCTAATAAAAATTTAAATTTATCATTTATAAACAATATAAAAAAATAAAAATTTTAACAAATTACACCAAAAAGTCCTTTATCCCACCTTTAAAGGGTGCACGTAGACTCTCTCTTTTTTTTTTTCATAAAAAATGATTTTTCTATCTTGTAACCATGGCACAGATAAGGTGTGAAAATTTGTACTTTTTATAATTAATTTTTATTAAAAATATAAATAT